TAGTGGACATTCTATGTTTTGTTTTCATCATTTTAAGTTTATTGAGACCCATTTTATGTTGTAGCATATATTCATCCTATGGAATAGTGAAGCATTTACCTAATTACTCTTTATCAGTAAAAACCCAGAAGTCAGATATAGGGGTAAGAACCTGAATGATCAGAGAAGTGGTGGAGGAGCAGCCAGTGATCTCTCTCTTTCCCTCCTTGATCCAAAAGAGCCGAGAATCTTTCTCAACCCCTCCCTACTACTTCCTGTGTCCTCTATCTGTCCTCAGTCCTCCAAAACTTCTATGGCTAATTTTGGTCAGCTAGTAGCTATCACCGCCTTTTGATTCAAAATAAACTTTATTGTCAGTCTCGGGAATGTCAGAGTGTGATCAAAATATCCCACAGCGTTTCCTCCTTTCTGTCTAAATAAAAGGGAAGGTTTTTAACTCCAACACAGTAAAACTATATACAATAAGAACAATTATCAGGTAAGAATTATGTTCACAATGTCCAGTCCATTTGCATTTGGAGAAAATACTCCATTATCTATCCTATCTTGGTGAGTCCAATGTTTTGTACCTAATTCATTTTCTATCCTAGTTTGTGTTTCTAGCCAACCCAAAACTATCTTTTTTATCAAATGTTTTTATCAAAACATTTTCTTAGCTAAAGAATTTAAGCTTTTATGTCTCTCACCCTTATTCACTTTACACTTCTTTTGTGAGTTTCTTTTCTGAATTTGGTAACAAGGAAAACTGTAACTTTAACTGTCTAGTCTTCAACCCCATCAGAGACCAAAGAAGGATATAGTATTACCTGAGTAAACAGGAAGTGCAGAGCAAACAGCTTCCAAAACTATAGAAATGACAGAGACATTTGGCTGCCTGGACAGTCACCCAAGGTTCTTCTGCAACATTAGGACATCCATCTTCAACCTGAAGGCCTATAATATCTGACAGACTTATCTGTGAAGCAGGAATTTTGAAGGACTGTCCTACCGTGTCTTGGCAAAGTTCAGTAGTCGCTTTCTTTTGTGTCCTGCTTGTCCAGTTTGGACAGTGCACTGTCAGCAGTCCAGGCGAGGGAAGTGTCTCACCCAGTGGCTAACTTTGCCACAGTAAAAGCAAACTCCATATGCTCCATATGGACGTTCTTCTTCTTCTTCTTCTTCTTCTTCTTCTTCTTATTATTATTATTATTATTATTATTTATTTATTTATTTTTCTATTATCAGCTTGATACAGTATGAATTCTTATCCTAATAGTGAAATGTTTCACTGAGGCTTGCCCTGTGATTGAGAAAAACCAAAACTTATTATAAGCCAGTCATCCTAGGGTCCCCCCTGCTATGTAGCCTTCCTGGTTCTGTGGGTTGCAGTCTGATTGTTCTTTGCTTTATATCTAGTATCCACTTATGAGTGAGTACATACCATGTTTGTCTTTCTGGGTCTGGGTTACCTCACTCAGGATGATATTTTCTAGTTCCATCCATTTGCCTGCAAATTTCATGCTGCCATTGTTTTTCTCTGCTGAGTAGTACTCCATTGTGTATATGTACCACATTTTCTTAATCCATTTTTCAGTTGACGGGCATCTAGGTTGTTTCCAGTTTCTGGCTAAGTAATACATATTCATAGTGTAGAAAAGGATTGTTCCACAGCAAAAGTGTGATCAAAATATCGCACAACAGTATATCCCAAATATACTTGACAATAATATACATTCCATTGTTGCTAGGTGATGGGTTCTCATTGGTCAAATTGGTTGATGGTGTTGCTCCATGTACCTATCAACTTTCTGTGTTCGTGTTATATCAATAGTTGGAGTGGGGGAATGTAGCTAAATTGGTAGAGTGCTTGGCTAGAGTGCACAGAGCCCTGAGTTCAGGGCTGCAGAATGCAGATGTGGTGGTTCAGGCCCCTAAGCACAGCATCAGGAGGCAGAGGCCACCTCCAGGTTGTCCCTGACTACACAGTGAGTTTGAGGATATGCTGAGGATATGCTGGACTGTGTGAGAACATGTCTCAACAAAAACGGTAGTTGAAAGAGAAATATCCAAATAGCAATTATTATTGTTGAACTGAATGATTTATATATACACACACTCACAACTTCTTTTGTTCATTTGTTTTTTGTTTCGGGGACTCTTATTTGTTTATCTTCTGGATTGTTTTGTTTTGTTGAGACAGGGTCTTTCTGTGTAGCCCTGGCTGTCCTGGATCTCACTCTGTAGAACAGGCTGGCCTCAAACTCAGAGATCTGCCTGCCTCTGCCTCCTGAGCGCTGGAATTAAAGGCATTTGTTGCCACCACCGGGCGTTATCTTCCAGATATTGTCCCCAAGGGATGTTTAGGAAAATGAAGACATATCTGGTTGTTGCGTCAGTCACAGTAAGCCATTAAGTAATATTATACCATGTGACTCAATGTCTTACTTATATCTACACACAAAAATTATGAGCTTCCAATACAGTGATGCTGGATTTACTTCCAAAAGTGACTTTTCTTTATCTTGTATATTCAGACAAAATTTTAGTTACAATTACAGATATTGTGCTAAATTACATGCAGTATTCTATAAAATCTAGCTCTATGTGTTTCATATATGAGAATGTTAATAAAGTTATTCGCAGCCTTTGCAAACCAAAACCAAGCAATTAAACAAACAAGAAAGAATAGTCTGTTTTTGCTGGTACTCTCAACTGCTGAGCTATCTCCCTAGCCCTGCTTCTTTATTTTTAAATCTTTTTTGTTTTGTTTTGTTTTTGTTTTTTGAGACAGTGTTTCTCTGTGTAACAGTCCTAACTGTCCTGGAACTCTCTCTGTAGACTAGGCTGGTCTCATTCACCTGCCTCTGCCTCCCAAATTCTGGGATTAAAGATGTGCCACCACCACCTGACTTTTGTTTCTAAATCATTTTTTTGTTTGTTTGTTTGTTTTGTTTTTTATTTTTTGTTTTTGGAGCTGAGGATCGAACCCAGGGCCTTGTGCTTGCTAGGCAAGCGCTCTACCACTGAGCTTAATCCCAAACCCCTTGTTTCTAAACCTTAAAAAAAACAAAACAAAAAACAAAACCAGAAAACAATCTTCTTTTTCACATAGCTACTATTTCCAGTATGTTCTGTAGATTGAGTTTTTTTCATTTGAGGAAGGACAAGTTTATTTTCATTTATTGAGTTTGAGGGTACAGTTAGTCATGACGGGGCTGGTGGGTGAGGACAGGAAGGGGAAGAATGGCCCAGGAGCGTGAAGCAGCCATAGGAAGGAAAACAGAGAGGTCCTGCCGTCTCCACTTCCCAAGGGTTGGAATTCCCGGGGTGCACCACCAAGCTGGATACCCTAATATCACCATTTCAGGATTCTGTGTTCTCTCCAGTCTTCACTGGAACTTAACCCAAGAGCCAGTTGGAGCGATGATTCTCTCTGGTTTCCTTCCTATGGCTCTTTCAATGTCAAGAGAACTTGATATTGATTCAGGAAAAAAAACAGGTTTGAGCCGCAGCTTCCCATGGCCACCGGCTGTGTGCTCTGAGTAAACTACTTTAGTCTTATGAGGCCGTCTATAAAATCTGAATAATATCTCCCAGAGTAATTGGAAAGATTATGCTAGTATATGAAAAGCTTTTACTGCCATATTTGGTATATAATATCAAACACTGACATACCATGCTTATTGTGTGTTATGCAGATGTCCCTCCCAGCTTAGAGATGAGTGAGGACTTGGAAGGCTGGCCTCCCATTTCACTTACTCAAGTCACACAACCAGAGAATGGCAGAGCACTAGGGTTTCCATCCAGTTTGGGTCCAGAGCCCATGTCTTTGACACTCATGTTCATTTTATTTTTATCTATCGATTTATTTATTTATTATCTTTGTAGTGAATGTTTCTTCTTTTTTGAGTTAGATGGAATGAAATTTGGTCTCTGGAAAATAAGTGCTGCTGACCAGATGAGTATTGGGGGCCATGGGGCATTTAAAAATGGAGAGGCGAAGGACGTTTCAAACAGAAAAAATAAAAGTATTGGCGAGGGTGAGTTTTGCTACATGGGCTCTGTATGATACGGTACTTTGAATGTTGAGCTAACAAATGGGGTCTGTGTCCACGTACGTAAAGTGACAAGTCCCCAGGGAAGTGACATGGTCAGAGTGGTTCTTTTGGAATGCTTCAGTCATCTGACAGAGGGCTGAACTGAGGAGCAATTAGAATAAAAAGATGGAATGTTCTAGTATGCACGTAGGAATGAGCTAATGAGCTTAGACGATGAGATGGACAGACAAAAGCATGAGTCAGATACAATTGTCGGCAGGATTCAGAGGGAGAGGAGAAGTCACAAGTGATTTCTTGTGCTTGGTGACAAGGAGGGACATGGATGATGTTATTGAGAAGGGATTCGGACAGAGGAGTAGGTTAGCGGCAGCGGATGTAAGAGCTCTGGTTTATATAGTCAACTGAGCATTTTTGGAAGTGACCTGGGCTACCTGAGGGAGGTTTTGTAGGTTAGTCTCGGGGGAAGAAAAAATGGAAGGGCCAAAAGGAGGAAACAGAATTTACAGAGCGGAGTGGGAGCTCTCTCTTGAGCTATAAGTGGTATGGGAGATTGAGAAGGTCCCGTGAGACCCTGCATCACCCTGTTCCCCCAAATCTCCCACCAACCTCTCTTATCGAGCCTTTCCCTGAAGTCCAAGCTTGGCTGAGAAGCAGCCCACCTTTCCCAGGGTGAGAGCCAGGAGCAGATGGAATATGAGACTAAAGGAGTCTGTGTGGACCTCCGTATGGCTCCAGGAGTCGAGTGAGAGGGTCAATAATTGACCCAGAATCCGCCGCTTGCTGGGATAGGGACTCAGAGCAGGTCATAGTTAATTAAGAAAATGAACATGACATTTCTTACCCAGCACATCTGTAACTACAACCCAGATTTAGTTAAAAAGGTCTACTTAGGGAGTCCTTTCTTAAAAAAAAAAAAAAAAAAAAAAAAGAAGAAGCTGATTTATGTATCTTACTAGATCATGAACTCCCAAACAAACAAACAAACTTGACCATCTTAGTTACTACGGTGAACCCAGTGCCTATTGCTGAGCTTGACTCATTGATTTGTCCACTATCATTCAGGGTACAGGGGCAGATTCTGTTCCATATGCTGCATATTCATTTACTCAACAAATATTTACTGAGCACTTACAGCGTGTGCGGCTCTGGGCCAAGTGCAAGAAACACAGATTTGAACAAGACTGGAAAGGTTTCTGCTCTCAAAGAGCTTATATCATAAGTGGTAGAGAGTAAAAAAACAAAATCAAACCAAAATAAAAAGAACTAACAAGAGTGTTCGGATGGTGGGGCATGCTTCGAGAACAGTGGGTGAAGGATGTGGTAAGGAGACACTTGGGGCATGACTTTAGGTGCCATAGCTTGGTGAGGCCTCTAGAATGGAGGCGGGTGGGGGAGGGGGGAGGGGGTCACAAGATGAGCAGGGGAGGTTGAAGGTCGGGAAGATGAAACAGCGGTGGCCAGTCAAATGAGCCACATTTATTTTAAGTACAAGTGATGAGCTTCCACAACTGGGACATGGGGTGTTACATTGTCTTTCTGAACAGCTCCTCTGGCTATTACATAAAGTGCAGGAGACAAGAAGAAGAGATGGTTGAGATGGTGTAGGTGTGACTTGGGAGGGTCAGGACTAGGTAGCCGCGGAGGTGGAAGGATGGCCGACTGGAGGAACAGCCAACTGATGGGAAGTGAATTCGAGGAACAGGAAGGAACCGGGTGTATGTGGTGGGTGTAGCTCACTTAGAGTGTTTGCCTAGTCTAGATCCCCAGCACCGCAGAAACTGGTTATGGTAATGCATGCCTATAATAATCCCAGCACCCAGGAGCTAGAGGCAGGACGATCAGAAGTTCAAGACTGCGTTTAGGAAAATGACTTAGCAAGTGCCAACCTGAGTTTGATCCCTGGGACCCACTTGGGAGAAGGAGAGAACTGACTCCTGCAGGTTGTCCCTTGACCTCCAAGTGTGTTGCACACTCAATAATTGTCATCTCCAGTGACAGAAGGAATTCTACAATAATCGGAGGCTAGAGATCCTTCCTGAAACAAAACCCAAACAAACCGAAAGGAATCTGGCATGGCTCCTGTGCAGAGGACCAACTATCCCCATGGCCTCAGATTGAGAAGTTGCCTGGTGCAGGTTTTCAAGGCTAAACCCAGCACTATCCCAGGTAAACTGGGGCACTTGGCCACTCTGCTGCTAGGTTTTGGGGTCTGGCAATGGGAAGTGCCTTAAACAGACACAATTGAAGGTGAAAATCCAGTGCTTTACTTTGGTCACATAAAGTTTGAGATGCTATCTAGTGTCCCATGGAGATGGACTATGTGTGTGCAAAGCCCAAAGGAGAGATTGGATCAGATAGAAATATGAAGCCGAAAGTCTTTATGGAATTTACAGCCATACATGTCTAAGAAGACCATACCAGTAGAGCACAGAGAAGGGCCTGAGATGGATGCCCTGAGATGGACATTAAGCAGAATCAGCGACCCAAAGGATTAAAAAGGAATAGTTGATCTGGGCATGGCAGCACACGCCTGTAATCCCAGAACTTTGGCGGCTGAGGCAGGAGGATCCTGAGTTTGCAGCCACCTTGGGGAACTCCTAAGGAGTTCAGTTCAGGATAGGGAAGACAGGCAGTTGTGCAGGCTGTAGCCATGGCAAACAGGAGGCCGACAGGCCCGCAGAGAGGCCGCCCTCCTGGGTTACATTTGGAAGGAGACTAAGCGATGGGAGATAAATGGAGGTGGCCTCTTCAGGCGTTGGCAGCCACTTCACACAGGCAGGCCAGGTACAGCAGACGGCAGGATGGCTGGGGCGGAAATGGAGGCCTGGCGTGTACGGAGGCCAGAGAGCAGAGTTAATCGCTTCCATCAGAGATGTCCCCTCAGATGAGAACAGAAGAGCAACGTGGAGTAACCTAGATTATGAGTAGCTGGGGGACAAAGACCAAGACACCCCAAGTGCCCTCTTCCATCACTTCTTGAAGAAAATGGAAGCGAAAAGACAAAGGCTAATGAAGTGGTGGCTGTAGGGTGGGGTGGGCTTAGGTTCTGCTGTGTTGCTTTTTTTTAATGGCAGAAATCTTGAGTGTAGTCATAGGCTTGAAGAAAGGAAGTACGTGAAGCGGGAGAGGGAGTGGGAATATGGAGGAGTGGAAATTAATGATGGAGTGGGATTTCCTTCCGAGGAGCTGGCCAGAGAACGACTCTGTGTCAGATGGGAACACATACAGCATTTAGTTGTGGTTGGGAGGGACGAGACAGGTGGGCAGGGACAGGTAAGACTGAGTAAGGGCGGGGGTGGGGCTGGGGCTAGGCAGTGCTGGCTAGACTCCCTCCTGATTGTCTCTCTCTTTTTTTTTTTTCCGGGAAAAATTTGGCCAGCTGCTGAGAGTGACTGGACACAGCAGGAAGCATGTGGAAGACTCCAGTGCAAATTTATACGAGCATCAATTTGTTTAATTCCGACAGTGGCTTGGCTTGATATTTTTCTGGGCACAGGAGCAGAAAAGTAGGCAGATTAATCCAGAGGAGAGCGCTGAAGAGTGGGTACAGCTGAGGACGTGGATGTTGGTCTTTGAGGCAGTGCAGTGACCCGCTGGGCATTGTTGCAGAATGACACAGGGCATAAGACAGGCTTTGGTTGACAGACGAGGAGCAAACTCAAGAGACTAAAGGCTCCACAGGGAGACAAGATGAAGGAAAAGAGTGAGTGAGTGAGGGCGGAGCCACGCTGGGATCAGAAAGAGGATGTCCAGGAAGCTGACGGGTGAGAAAGTCCCGGGGACTAGGCCTTCAGTTCAAGTGGCTGGCTAGAGAGGAGATGTGTGTCAAAGGGTGGATGAGCTGAGTGGTGGAGAATGTCTTCAGATCGGTTCTGAAATCACTGATGGGAGAGAGGAGAGGCAGGAGCTGAGCCCAGAGCCAAGGCCTGGCCAGATACGATGGAGTGACCAAGGGGCGGTAGGGACAGAGGCAGGGAGGGCAAGAAGGTGGCTGGCTAAAAGCAGAAACCGTTTTTCACATAGCCAGGTGCCTTCTGAGCTGATTGAACTAAACTAAACTGAACCACAGTGCTGTGTTAGTTCAAGGAAAATGCCACGATCAACACCAGCTGCTATTTTCTAGAAAAAAAAAAAAAAAATCCAGGACAGACACTGAAACTGGCCAAGAACCCGAAAGCCAAGAGTCAAGGAGAGACCCAGAGGACCGGCACGGGGACTGTGGGCCCGTGGAGTACCACCCAGCTTTCCTCTCTTGTCCCACCAAATCAGCCCTTGCCTTCTCTTCTGGGCCATTGGTGACAGCTTTCTGCCTGAGGACAGTGTGCTGGCAGGGAAAATCAGCCCTGTCTCTTGGGCTGGCATCATTCCCAGGAGGAGCCAGCGCTGAGGCTTCAGAAGGGAGCTGAAGGAAGCATTCTGGGCTCGCTACTCTCCAGTGAGCAAGGGATCATTAGCCAAAACCATCATCTTCCCGGCTCATTCTCAGACCCACTTAACAACAACCTGAGCCGGCTCTCCACCCTCTCCCCAGCCCAGCGGTGCAAGCTGCTTCCTGCTCAGGCAGAACCCACCCTCACCTCAGTCCTTGTAGGACATAGGTGCCATGCACACAACTTAAAAAAGTAAAACCCACACCCTAATCATTTATTTCCTTACCTATGTATTGCGTGGGCATGAAATGTGTTTACCTGCTTGCTACGAGGCATGCGTGAGTGTGGAGATCAGAGAGCAGCTGATGGAGGTCAGTTCTCTCCTTCCACGCTGTGGGTCTTAGGGACCAGGCTCGGTCAGGCTCCGCTGCGCGTGCGTTTACCTGCCGAGACATTTTGTTTGCCCTTCTACCCCCGACTCTGGCTTTTATTTACTTAATATATATGTGTGTATATATATATATATGTGTGTGTATATATATATATATATATGTATGTATGTATGTATGCATGTATTTATTTATTTATTTATTTAAGACAAGAGCTGTCTGTAGTCCTGGAACTTGCTATACAGGCCAGGTTAGCACTCACACTCACAGAGATCCTCCTGCCTCTGCGTCCGAGTGCTTAGATTAAAGGCATGTGCTGCCATACTCCACCTTTCTTTCTTTCTTTTTTTTCTTTTTTTTGAGATGAGGGTCTCCCTATGTATGCCAGGCTAGCCTTGAACTCTCAGTAGTCCCCCTGCCTCAGCCTCCCCAGGGCTAGGATTACATGCATCACCAGACCCAGATTTACACACTGGTGCTTTTTTTCTTCCTGTCTCTCAGCCTATGTCTGCCTGCCTCTCTGTTGCTCCTGAGTGATGTGAATATTAAAAGGCACACCCGCTGTGTGCTGCTTTCCTGCCCTACTTCACTGACTGGTACTCAGTCTCCCATGGGTTCCTTCTGGTTCAGCCCTGGCTTTCTACCTTCTCTGTATCCATGTCATCCCCTTTGGGATTGCAGACAGCCTTGTGGCTGCCAAGCCTTCCAAATCACGGCAAGTCCAGGGTGCATCTCTGTTCCCAAGAGTCTCCCATATCCACTGCCTCTCTACTTGGATACCTTGAAGACATCACTGTACTCTTCTCCTTCTCCCAGACATACTTACTGCCCTTACAACCCCCCTTCCTCTCAGTCAGTGGTAACTCCTCGTAGTGACTCAGGCTGAGAACCTCCAAGCTAAGCTATCTCTGTCTCTTGCTTACACCTAATTATGGCCTACTGGTGAATCCTGTCATGTCTACCTTCAAAAGATACCCAACATCTGACCATATCTTCCCACCTGTACCCCTGCCACCCGAACCAAGCTGTCCTCATACCGTGTGTGTGCTACTGCAGTAGCTGCCTATATATAAAATTGGCGTCTAGCCTATTCCAAACAGCAGCTAGACGGAGCCTTAAGAAGACCGTCATGACTCTCGTGCCAGCCCACACTGGCTTTGATTCGGTGTAAACGCCAAGTGCAGAACAGTGACCTGGTCAGGTCTCCTAGTGCCCCTCGGTTCTTCCTTATCTCCTACCTTTCTGCTCACTTACCTTCCGCCAGCCACATTGGCCTCCTGCTGCTCATCAGCCAAGGCCAGGATGCTCTCTGTGCTTACTGTCTCCTCTGCCCAGAGCCCCTTCCCCAGGGCCTGCCCTCCCCCTCCCAGCCTTTCTCTGGGGTCATTCTTGGTATGCCCTTCCCTGAGAAGCCTAGATAAAACACCAACGATGACGATGGAGACAGCCACAGTGGCCGCTCTCCCGCTGTCTGTCTTCCCTCTTTTCTCCGCAGGCTCGTCATCCTCTGAGACCAAATTCTCACCGAATGGGAGCATGATGAGAGTAGAAACATTCCGTTTTATTCCCAAGGCTCCTGATGATGGAGAACAGACCTGTAGAAGGACTCAGTAGATATCTGTGAAACAAACCAGGCTGTGGGGAAACTTCACAATCCTACACCTTCTGGATGTGATACCAGGAAAAAAATTTTTATATATATATAACACAAATGAGCATAAATGTTATTACAGGAGTCCTGAGATCTGAACTTTGGTCCTCATGATTGAGCAGCAAGCACTCTTAACTAAGTCAGCCCCACAAACTCTCTTTCAAGCTCTTAAGGAAGCACAATTTTATTTAAGCAACTGGTCCGCCTGGGGCTCTGCATATTTATACAACTGCCTCTCTGGCCAGCAGAAGTAACTTTCCTTTTCTTGGCTTCCTACTTCCTGTAAGACTAGGAGCAGGCCACCTTGCCTGAGGTGACCATGACTTATAAACGCCAGCACTCAGTAAAAGCCACTGAGGTGGCCATTCTTTTATATAGAGTTGGGCAATGCTTTACGATCTTCCTGTAACTAGGGGAGTCTGGCCACACATGATTAGATGATAGAACTGAGGTTTCAACTCTCATTGTTACAGCTCTGGGGTGCTTCCCCTGGGTTCTCCAGTGTCCTCTATGGGGACAACATGGACTTTAGACCAGATGATCATTCAGACTCTTTTTAATTTTTTTGGTTTTTTGAGACTAGGTTTCTCTGTGTAGTTTTGGTGCCTGTCCTGGAACTTGCTCTGTAGCCCAGGCTGGCCTTGAACTCACAGAGATCCACCTGCCTCTGCCTCCCAAATGCTGGGATTAAAGGCATGTGCCACCACCGCCTGGTTCACTCAGACTCTTAAGCTAACACTGTAGCCTTCTTGAAAGGATCCATCCACAAGTCACAGAAAACGTGCTTTCTCAGCATACAGAAGAAACAGGTTTTTTTTTTTTTTCTTTTCTGACCTTTGTATTGTCTGTGAATTTTTCAGTTGTTAGGGACAAAAAACCCAACGAAAACCAGCTGAAACAAGTGAGCGTGGGGAACGGCAGCCCTCTGGAAATTCCATGGTTGAGTGTCTTCTGGTCAGTTGGGATCTGGGAATGGGGTCCAGGAAGCCCAGGCTTCCTTCACCGACAGCACCGTTTCTCCTGTGTTGGTGCACTTTCTGGCTGGCTGGCCCTTGGCTGTCCCGGAAGCAACAAGAAGGCCCCTGCCAACTTCTTCCTGGGGATTCTGGGATCCTAACATACAGCGTCTCATTGCTCTGGTATGACTCACACATCCTTTCCTGCGCTACTTTTTATGCTGGAGAACGAGAGGCAGATTGTCCAGGTCTGGGCACAGGCCCTCCCTCCGCAGGGGAGGTGGGTGGACAGCCTGACCAACACACAGGGGTGAACATGGCAGAGGGGCAGGCTCACCAGGAAACTCATGGAGTGCTTTACTTTAAGAGTGGGGGTTGGGGGTTGGGGATTTAGCTCAGTGGTAGAGTGCTTGCCTAGCAAGCGCAAGGCCCTGGGTTCGGTCCTCAGCTCCAGGGCGGGGGGGTGGGGGGGGTGTCGACCACAGTACCCATGTGGAGGCCAGAGGACAGCTTCTGAGGTGGTCTTCTGCTGTATGGATCCTGGAGACTGGTCTCAGGTTGCCATGCTTAGCAGCAAGTGCCTTTACTCCTGGGCCTTGTTTTGAGGCAAGGTCTCACTATGTAGGCCTGGCTGGCCTGAAATTTACTATATAGACCAGGCTGGCCTCAAACTCAGAGATCTATCTCTGCCCCCTAAATGCAGGGCTTAAAGGCGTGTAGTGCCATGCCCAGCTACTTTATTACCTTTTATTTTGTTTATTTATTTATTGGTTTTTCGAGACAGGGTTTCTCTGTGTAGCCCTGGCTATCCTGGAACTCACTCCGTAAACCAGGCTGACCTTGAATTCAGAGACCCACCTACCTCTGCCTCCTGAGTGCTGGGATTAAAGATGTGCTTGGTTTAGCCACTTTATTACCTTTAGACATTTATTTATTTATTTATTTATTTTGTTTTTTGAGACAGGGTTTATTACCTTTTAGGGAGATAAAATGTGCTGGGGAAACATACAGTTAAATCTCTGACTCCATTAACAAAGCATGTAAGGTTTTCTTCTTAACATATCAACCTTCCCTCTCTCTTCCAGGCAATTGTTGAACCAAGAGATGCTTTGGTTGGGCTTTCTATTCTTTTCCTGGTATTTCGATATCAACCATAATTGATAAATAATTAGAATGTAGGCTGGGGTGTGGCTCAGAGGCAGAACACGTCCAGAATGTTCAAGGACCCAGGTTCCCTTCCCCAGCACTGAAAAATAAATAACATTACTGACAGTCCACTACAGTTAGAGAAAGACTTTCAGACCCGATCTTCATTTCAGACAAGTAAAAAAACTGAAATCTCAACCACTGGCTTTTTCTTATCTCACCGAGTGTCCCCGGAACTGCAGGCTACATCAGAGACTGAACAAGACACTATCTGGGGACAGGGAAATGGCTCAGCAGGTGAGGGAGCCCCTATGCTGTGCAAATGTAAGGACCTGAGCCCAGACTCCTAGCACCCACATAAAAGCCTGTACTCCAGCACTGTGATAGGAGGTGGAGACCGGATTACTGGGCCATCAGCCCAGCCCCCAGGTTCAATGAGAACCTGTTCAGGGAAAGATCCTGTCCCAAGGGAATAAGGCAGAAGTGATGTTAAAACAGAACACCTAAGTTCCTCTTCTGGCCTCTGCACAGGATCACCTTGCACACACACACCACACACACACACACACACACACACACACACACACACACACACACACGCACACGCACACGCACGGGAAACAATCTTCTGAGGAGGCCAGCTTGAAGCCCCCTCTCCTCAGAGAGGACAGTGGGGCTCCACATGTTTCAGATAGGTCTCATTTTGTCCCCATTTCCATTTCCACCCACATGCAGCCCAGGCAGCCGCCCCTACTGGTTGCTCAGGTTGGACAGGGAGTGTGCTGGTGGCTGGTATTTTCCCTTAAAGCATCTTGGCAGGATTCCTGGCAGTTTAGATCCTTGGATATCACTGGCTGGGCAGGTGGCTGTGCTTTATCAACAGGATGAGTCTTACAGGTGTTTCACAAGGCCCAGGAAGAAGTTTGTTCCCTGACCCCTGCCTTCCCCAATTCAGGGACTAAGGGACTCATTCTTTTTGCTTATTAGAAGTGGGCCAATTTACCACCAAATGTAGCTTTTCCTGCTAGATGTATACAGGATGTAAGGAGGCAAATAAGCTGTACATTGCTGGTTTCTGCTTCTTTATTTACCTGGAAAACGGACTTGCATAGATCTGACAGTCAGAGCCAGCCTCTGAACACTGGCAGAGTTCCCTTCCAGGCAGAATGATGTAATGGAAAGAGCTCAGGTCGGGGACACTAATGGGCAGGCCCTTCTTAGCCACCACCTCGTGACCAGCCCTTTCCCTCTCTCTGCCTCAGTTTCCTAAATTTAAGACAGGAGGATTGGCCCAGATGGCCCCAGAGGCATTTTGGAAGCTCACCGTCTGTGAGCTGGTTCCTCTGGGTTAGGCAGCTCGGATACTGCAAGGGTCCCTGGCTGGTTTGTTTTCCACAAAGATCTCCACTTGACGCGCCTTACTGTTGCTTAGTGTTTTATTTACTGTGCAAAATTCCATTCAAAAGTACAGGATTCTGATTGGAATTAAGAGCTGTCCCTAACCACGACTGTCCCAGGCAGTGTTCAAGCACTAGCCAAGCCGCTAGCCCCAGCCAAGTGCTGCTGCGGCTTTCAAGTTAAGTAAGATGGAGGCCTCCCCTTGGGCTGTGCACGGCTCAGTCAAGGAGGCGGATGAGTAAATCAGTCATTTCACTGCACTGTGATGAATACTGCTATAGCCTGTTTATAAGGGACATGCAGAGAGTGGCCGTATAAACCCGGGGTGGAGTCCTCTGTGGTCTCCAGGAGGAAGTGTCGCTGAAGGGATGAGTGAATCACTTACCTGAATGGAACGGGGACAAATCTTTTAGATCACAGTGTCTGCTCAACAGATACCTGCCCCCTGTCATTCCACACATCTTCTCCCTTAGAAACAAATATTTCTCCTAGCGCCTACCTAGTAATCCCTTGGGGTCTGGCATGTGATTGGAACTGTGGGCACTAAAGTGGAGTCCCTGGAGCAGGTTTTGAGAAGGTTGGAAAGCTGGATTGCCCCCGGAGGCAGAAGAACTATGGGCTCCCACAGCATTGTATTTTATTCGTCAGTTTGGAATGTTGGAAGCCCGCATTCAGTTCACACATGCATATCCCTTTACTTTCATTGTCTCTTTTTTCTTTTTCTTTCTGGTGCATGGTGGGAAAAATGATTTGGAGGGACCTCAAGGCGGTCGGAGTCTGAGAAACCTCTGCAGTCACGGCAGGCTTCTTGGAGAAGGTGTCAGGCAGGAAAGGTGAGGACTAGCTGGACTAGTTAGGTTAGGCACCTTAGCTGGAAGGGCCTCCTCGATGCCGGGCCGGGCTGCACTCGGCCGGCCGCGCCACCCTTCCCGCGTTCGACCTTTGTTCCTGCACTAACCTCCCACCCACCGAAGTGTGTGTTGTTATCACTTCCCCCTTTCTGCGCCGTGCGTGAGTCGAGGCTCGCCCTCGGCGCCTGCTTCCCTGGCCGCGCGGGGCTGCGGGCGCATCCCGGGGCCGTGAAGTGTCCTCGGCGGCGCAGCCAGGCCCCGCCTCCGGCCCCGCAGTTCAAGTGCAGGCTCGGAGCGGCGAGCCGGGGCGCACCTCGGCGCAACCTGCGGGCTCCGGGGGAGAGCCTCTCCCCGGCGGCGCGCCGGCTGGCGGGAGCGGACGGAGGCCGGCGCTGCCCGTTAGCAGCCGCGGCAGCAGGAGCCTCCTAATTACTCACCACGCTAATTGCCCAGCGCTGAACTTCAGGAGCCGGTCTGAAGCGGAGCTCCGGGGGCGCAAGAGGAGGCAGGAGGTGTCTGGGGCCGGGCCCCGCCAGGGTTAAGTGCCCGCCCGTCCCCGGCTTGGCGGCCAGCTCGCCTTCCGCGGGAGGCCGGAGTCGTCGCCCGGGGACCGGGAGGTGCGCCCGGACCACACCGGGCCCCCTCCCCCATCGCCGCCTCTAGGAGGCGCAGAAAGTGGGGGCGCCAGCCTGGCGCGGGGGGCGGGCGCGGAGAGCCAGAGGGGCTGCGGGGACACCGAGATGGCCGATGAGATCGACTGGCTGGACCTGCCAGGCCGATGGACCTACGGAGTGGACCGCGGCGGGAGAATCTTCTTCATCAAGTATGTAGTGCTCTTTCTCCCCCCCCCCCCCCGCCCCGCACCCCACCCCTTTCCACTTTTTCTTTAAAGTTGTCGGACTCGAACGGTGGCAGGGTGGGGGGTCAGGCTGGGGTGGTGGTGGAGGGAGTGGGGGTGACTAATAAGTTTATCAAGATACCTGTTTGAATGTGACTCCCGCCTTTTCCTCAATGGGTCAAAGTCCAGCTAAGGCTCACAGGCTTCCTTCCCTGAGCTGGAGAGAGGCAGGGCAGGCGAGGCGGCCTTGAGCCTCTTCCCCGACCGACCGCCGCACCCCGCAGCAGGAGTCCTTTCAGCTCCTACACTAAAAGGAAGCTAGGCGACTTCTTTCCTCCAGACTTGGGCAAAATGACAGCGTATTAGGCGCCCCTGCCTCTGCCACCTGCTCTCTGCAAGACTCCAGCCCTCAGCACGGCAGCTCCTCCCCCTGCCTGCTGCTTCCCTGGGTCTGTGGTCAGGAGGCAGGAGCCGATGCTTGGAGCATTCTTTGCTGCGCTCAGTGATAAATTAGCACCGTTCTATTAATTTCATAAACCAAATGGCTGTGGCATAATCTCATTATAGCAGAGTGGCCCTGTTTGGCCCCTTTTTTGGGCTGGCTTCTCTAATAGTCATCCTTTGCCAGGCAAGAAATCTCCCCATGATATATAGCAAGTGTGGAGAGCACAGCAGTTTGGACTGTTCCCACACTTGACAAGCTTCCTCGTCCTCAAGGTAGCCACTCAGAGAACATCAGGGCTGAAGGGAACACAGGGGCAGCGCCTGCATTGTTAGCACAGGACCTCTGACGGTCTGGAGAGATGCACAGTATCCGTCTGAGGTAGGACCGACAGGACCCCTCGGCACAGGGACAGCCCGAGTCCACTTTCTCTTTTCCAGGGGCTGCCGCATCCACGGTTGCTGTTTGGGGTTTCTGTTTCCACACTTGCTTGGCATTTTCTTTTGTCATTATCACCACTGTTTATCATAATTGATGCTGAATTATATTATCTTAGCAGTAATTTCATGAAAGTTCTTGGCCCTAGGTTAGGGATCCTTAATAACAGAACTCCAGGATTAAAAAGAGGGTCACTTTCCTCAGTGGCTTGAACCTGCAAAACCTCCAAGAACCATCTAGGTTAAGTGTGGTAGAGTGTGCCTGTGCTCCCAGCTACTAAGGAGGCTGAGGCAGGGGGATCACTTGACCTAAGAGTTTGAGAGCAAGCTGGGCCTTGACCTCAAAACAAACACATAAACTAAAATAAGAAATCATCCAGGGAGCTTACTGAAAAGACTCATTCAGAGCCGGGCGTTGGTGGCGCACACCTTTAATCCCAGCACTCGGGAGGCAGAGCCAGGCGGATCTCTGTGAGTTCGAGGCCAGCCTGGACTACCAAGTGAGTTCCAGGAAAGGCGCAAAGCTACACAGAGAAACCCTGTCTCGAAAAACCAAAAAAAAAAAAAAAAGACTCATTCAGGGCTGGGCATGGTGGCGCACACCTTGGATCCCAGCACTCTAGTGGCAGAGGCAAGGGGATCTCTGAGTTCCAGGCCAGCCAAGGTTACATAGTAAGACTGTCTCAAAAAAAAACAACAAACAGTAAAGACTGATCCCTGAGTCGTCCGTTCCCCACCCCACCCCTCTTTCTATTCTGAGCAGAGACAGCCCAATGGGCTGAATCCTTAAGAGCTCCTGATGTGGTGACCCCGAGTTGGCCTCCCAATTTCCTCCTAATCTTCCCTTTAATTGCACAGTCTCACATGGAGCATTTACTCTTTCCAGCAATAAAAAATAAAAACAATAAGCTACATGCTTTGCCTTTAGGGTGGTGGGAGAGATCTCGGAATAACATGGTATCCCGGGGAGGCATTTACTTGTGTGATGCTGCCTATGGGACCCAGGAAGGAAACAAAGATGGAGACTGAGGAGGCGATCCACGGAATAAGTGCCGGCCTGAAGCTGAACAGGAAGAGAAGAGTACAGTGGCCTTGGGCAGTGGGAGGTCTCGTAAGAAAGGCAGGGTGGGCTTGAGGCAAAGGTACCAGCACCCTCTTGGGTTACAGTGGAGATGGAGTGGCAGCTTCGGCGGTTGCAGAGAAAACAGGACAGAAAAGCAGGAATGCACGAGCAAGGCCCAATATGTTAGCCAAGGGGTTGCGACTCTATCCTGCAAGAGACAGAAAGCTACAGGCGACTTTACCCCAGGGCTGGACAAATGCAGGATCTGCATCCAGGAGGATCCCTCCGGCAGCTGTGAGGGCTGGGAGATGTATGTGGGGTGCTACAGAATAGAACATGTCTAGGACGCTGCTGTTCAAGCTGGAAGTCTGAGACAGCTGCTGGGGCCTGAGCGGAAGCGGGGAGAATGGAGCTGAAAAGGTGAGAGAGCAGAGGGGCATCTCTCGGAGAGGATTAAGAGTATCCCCATGGGGGGGGGGGTGCTGGAGAGATGGCTCAGCGGTTAAGAGCACTGACTGCTCTTCCAAAGGACCTGGGTTCAATTCCCAGCACCTACATGGCAGTTCACAACTGTCTGTAACTCCAAGATCTGACACCCTCACACAGACATGCATGCAGGCAAAACACCAATATGCCTAAAATAAAAACAAATAAATTATTAAAAAAATAAACTCATTTAAAAAGCTGGGCAGTGCCGGGCGGTGGTGGCGCACGCCTTTAATCCCAGCACTTGGGAGGCAGAGCCAGGCGGATCTCTGTGAGTTGGAGGCCAGCCTGGGCTACCAAGTGAGTTCCAGGAAAGGCGCAAAGCTACACAGAGAAACCCAGTCTTGAAAAACAAAAAAACAAAACAAAACAAAAAGCTGGGCGGTGGTGGCACATGCCTTTAATCCCAGCACTTGGGAGGCAGAGGCAGAGGCAGAGGCAGGCGGATCTCTGTGAGTTTGAGGCCAGCCTGGTCTTCAGAGCAAGTTCCAGGACAGGCTCCAAAGCTACACAGAGAAACCCTGTCTTGGAAACAACAAGAGCCGGGCAGTGGTGGCGCACGCCTTTAATCCCAGCACTCGGGAGGCAGAGCCAGGCGGATCTCTGTGAGTTCGAGGCCAGCCTGGTCTCCAAAGCGAGTTCCAGGAAAGGCGCAAAGCTACACAGAGAAACCCTGTCTTGAAAAACCAAAAAAAAAAAAAAAAAAAAAAAAAGGAAAACAACAAGAACAAGAACAACAACAAAAAGAATGTCCCTATGACTGAATGTGGGGAAGGGAAGAGGTACCTCATAATGTCTCCCTTGATTGGTGGAGATCAAGACTAGAAGATGAGGAGCCCAGCTCATGTGTATGTTGAGGGGGCATAAGTTCAACGGTGAAATGTTGAACTTGAGGTCCCTGTGTGCCCATAGGGTTGTGTAGCTGCATTATCTGGCATTTGAGATAAGTCTGGGCTAAGAGGGTCCTCTAGGAGTTGTCTTGCAGAGGTGGGACCTCCCAGAGTGTGAGCGAGGGGACAGAAAGATAGCCAGGCAGCGTCAGTCTTTAAGGAGAGAAGAGCTTGGGAAGGAATTAGGAACCAAGGGGGTCAGAGGTGAGCAACGCCAGGATTGGAGAAGAGAGAAGACACGGAGCTTGAGAAGGAATTAGGAAGCATTGATCAATAGTGGTCAGATCAATACAGCAGAAAAGCCAAAAGGCCAGAGGTTAGGAAGTGGCTGCTGTGTGGGAGGGCTGTCCTTAGTGGAGAGTGCGTTCAGGGAAGAATGGGGACTGGTGAGCAGGATGCCAGCAAGCCGGGGGAGCATGAGAGACTTGCTCCCAGGAGGGATGCTGGATTGAGGAGGGTGCAGAGAGGAGGTTGGAGGGGAGGAAGGTGTCAGTGAGAGGAAGATGGGGAACTGAGACACAGACAGTGGTAGAGGGGAGGCTGCTGCGTGCCACAGGGAGATGCAGTTCATGATTCAGGCTGGGGCTCTCAATAGATGAGGGGCTATAAAAGATGGGCTAGAGTAGAGAGATAGCCCGAGGAGAGGATTAGCCTCAGAGGAGAGAAGACTCATTTCTTCTCTATGAAAGGGTAGGCGAGGAACTGCGTATGTTTACAGGTAGGGTAGATATTCGGGGAACCTGATGGTTTTGACTGGTTCTTCAGTCACGGGCTGTAGAGAGTGCAGGGTGGTAGGGTATGTAGGCGAGGCAAGCTGGGGCTCAAGGCTGGTGGGGGAGGCCCTAGAGTGGCTACCCACTGATAGCCCCGAGGAAGGACAGAGTTCTACCTGGAGCTTGGCTTTGTAGTGACACCAGCCCTCCCAGGTCTAGCTTCTCCACCAGTGCCAAGGCCAGGCTGACAAGGGGAGATGACAGAGGATAAACAGAGGGAGCTGAAGGCTGTGGTGGAAAAGCCATCCTGTGATGGGGTGATCCGCGGCATCGGGTGATGTGGAGATGGAGGGGACTGTGTGAGAGGAGAGGAGCGTCCGGCAGCATAAGAGGCTGAGGACACTGGCTCACTCACGCCTTTTTTAACCTGCCTGGCCTTCTTCTCTGACTTCTAACCAGCACAAACCCAGACCCAAGGCCCCACTGTTAGAGGCCATCTCCTACCAGTGACTCCGGAGTATAAGAGGTCACTAGAATTGTGACTTAGTTTCTTCTCTGCTGGATAGAGGGGTGGGTTAGTTGGAGAGTCTCTCTGTACAGCAGGTGTCCAGCTGCAGAGAAAAATTAATGAAGTTGCTGGACCGGTTGGCACATGTCTATAATCCCAGCACTTGGGAAGCAGAGGCAGGCAGATCTCTGTGAGTTCAAGGCCAGCCTGGTCTATAGAGTGAGTTCCAGTACAGCTAGGGCTGTTACATAGAGAAACCCTGTCTTGAAAAACAAAACAAACAAACAAAAGTTAATGACGTCAAAAGAAAAAGTAAAAGGGCACATGTCCCCTCAGAGCCCACAGATGTTCACAGCAGCTTTGCTTGTGTTGGCGCCCAAGCTGAGACCAACTTGTATGTCCGTCTCACGGGAGTGGATGGGCACACTGGCGCACCCTTCATGAACTGGTAAAGGGCCATTCGTGAATTACTGACACTACAGTGTGGAAGAAAGGAAAAGGGAAAGGGAAGGAAGTTAAGAGAGAGAAGTCTGACTTGTGTGATTCCTTCTGTGTGTGTCCAAAGCAGATGGGTGTGGCTGGAGGGGGGTAGGGGGGAGGAAAGGGAGAGATAGGAAGACCCAGGAGGGTAGACAGGGCTGGGAGGGTGGGAGACAGGACACACAAGGGGGCACACAGAGTTGGGGGTTCACTATCTTGATTTGGTGGCAGTTTTCAAGGTGTTCTTCACATTTATCAGAACATTAATTTATATACGCACGCAGTTTCTGGTCAGTCTTACTACAGTAAAAGTTGAATAGACTCTGTGGATCTTATGCATGTCATAAGATCCCCACCTTGTCCATCCTGAAATGGCCACGACTGGCAG